TGGATTAAAAATATCAACAGCTATTAAAGAAAAAACGATAAAATCCATTGAAAACAATGAAACTTTTTTTATGGAATTAGCAATTATCTAGTAGTGGTGTGCTCTCTATTTCAAGCACATGTTAAATTCAGGAGCATACTCATGTATATTGTTTCGGGTGCTTGAGTATCCATTAATTTGGATATTATATATTTTTATGTTGGTGTTTTGGTTGCGTGCAATAATTGAATCAGTGAAATGTTAACACTTTGTTTGGATGGTTGTTACGTGTTGTTTCATAATGTATCATATTATATTGTATTGTGTTGTATTGTATTGTACTATATTGTTTTAATGAATACAGTGATTGAATAAGTTGTATCGTTCTCCGTCGTTACATAATGTCATATATCTATGATTTGAATGATTAACCTACTAGAAAGTAGGATACGGAGTATAGATACTACGAAAAGAGAGGGTAAAAGATGAAATACAATTATTAATTAATAAATAAAGATAAAATGAGAAAAAAATATTAAGGTAAAGACGCGATCACACCAAATCGATCGTTCCAATAATGGGTTTTTTCATCGTTATCTAACAATGAATTTAAATGATACGATACGGTATAATTTAAGTAACAATCAAAACAGGCATTATATTCAAACTAACCATACAACGGATAACAATCATCCAAGGTGTAAGAGTTCGACTCTGGGTTAGCACAATTATTTTCGTGCTCCCCTCTTCTTTTTTTCTCTAAAATATATTTTCTTTTTCTTCGTTCTTAGTTCACTTTCTAGGATTTTTTTTAATTATTATTATTGTTGTTGTTGTTGTGTTCAAATTATTTTTTACATTTAGTTTTTAACTTTTTGTTAATAGTTTTTTATTAACTTCTTTTTATTTTTGTGTTCAAATTTTTTTGCACTTCTATCTTATGATTGATACCAACTTTATGTTTAAAAAGAATGGCACCCACAATCTTAAAATTCTTGATTTGTCACTGATTAAATATTATATTAATCAACATGAATTACTGGTATTCCTTTATCCTTAATATGAATTTTGTATTTGAACACCTGGCAATGAAAAAATTCGGTTGATAGTGCCGCCACCAGAAATAGACCCTACAATGCTTCAATTCAGATTTAGTCACGCTCCATTCTCCAATACAAAATCATATGTCCGATAAGAAACCCAAAAAAATAATCTATAATTTATTTTAATATTTAACTAAAACTATAAATATTTACTTTACTCAATAAATTTGAAGAATCAAAACTAGTCTTTAGAAGAATATTTTGAGTTTACTTCCAAACATAAACGACCACTAAAGATGTGACATTTTTATTTTAGAAGAAAATGACAAAAAAAATATAATTATTATGTTTGGTATGGTTTAAGATAGTATCCTAAACGTGTGTTTGAACAATTTTTATCCAACTAAATAATAGTGAGATGTGAACTCGAAATGCCAACTTATTTGGATATCATAATGAAATGTGCATTAAATCGATCTTAAAAATTCAATTTCTTTAATTAGAAACACTTTTATTTACCTATTATTGGTAGTATCTATTCTACTATACCTATGAAATCTCGATCAAGTAATTCTCTTTGGCTTAGCATAGTTGTTTGATTTGAGAATATGCCGTTCCATAAAAGTAAAATAAAATTAATGAAGATAATAATAATAATAATAATAATAATAATAATAATAATAATAATAATAATAATAATAATAATAATAATAATAATAATAATAATAATAATAATAATAACAATAAAAAAAAGTGTCGTTATAACTCTTTTAAAGTAGGAAAAAAATTAATAAATGACATATTTCTATTGTCTTTATCTCTGAAAAAATCAAACTTTTAAAGGGTTTCAGCCTCTTAAATCTAAGATACCTTACATACTTTTTTTTTCCAATCGAACTCGTCGATAATAATAATAATAATAATAATAATAATAATAATAATAATAATAATAATAATAATAATAATAATAATAATAATAATAATAATAATAATAATAATAATAATAATAATAATAATAATAATAATAATAATAATAATAATAATAATAATAATAATAATAATAATAATAATAATAATAATAATAATAATAATAGAAGTAATTAATTATATGGTTAAATTTAATTTGTCATCTTTCAGTTCTCTAATTAATTTTTTTTTTAAAAGCATCAATATGCCGGCAAGTTATATTTAGATGCTTCAAATCTTGAAATCTTTATTTGTCACTTTTTACATAATTTTTTTTAAAAAAATTCTATACAAAATTATTATTTTTATAATTATTATTTTTCTTTATGTTTTTGTCTATGGTTTGTGGATAAGAACCTTTTGCCTATATTATATATAAAAATAAATTCCATATTGCATGACGCAATTCTATGAGATAATGAACTCATAATCCTCCACCTTTTCATTCAACTTTTGGACTGTTTATCTGTTTGAACATATGACACAATCTTCACCTTGTGACCTATTGTGCCCTGCTTTTAGAGTCTGGTGAATTCAGAATTTAAAATTAATGAACTTTAATTTGTAAATATACGATCAATTTTTTATATATGTGTATATATAGTTTATATAGTCCAAACCAATAGTTCATTATTGTATAATATATAAAAATGCAGTGGCGGAGCCACATGTTGTTAAGGGGTGTCGGTCGACACCCCTTCGTCGGAAAATTATGTAACTAGAATAAAAATATTTTTTTATGTAGATATGTTATATTGACATTTCTTGACTTTCATACGATTTTATTTATTTATATTTTGACACTCCTTAAGTGAAATTCTAGCTACGCCACTGTGTAAATGAATTTTATCTATTGAATTGCGATGATCATATATATATATATATTGAATCAAACGTTATTCAGTTCACTTCTTAAGTTAATTTGTGATGTTGAGTTAAATCGAACTTCGATTTTCTCTTCCCTCCCCCAACAACCAAAGATAGCCAATATGGAAAAATTGATCAATTGCTTGTTCTAATAGGATTCCTCCATTGATTCTCATTTAATGATGTTTGGTGTTTTATGCATGAAGTTTAGTTAAAACCATATTATAATTAATTTCTTAGCCAATTAATAGCAAGTACTAGTTTTGTTTTTCTATGAAAAATATTGTACATTGTATTATTGGTTCATGTCTTATTCTTTTGACTTGAATATAGTACCAGATACCTTTTCTTGATTATTCAACCAAAAATAAATTGGACTATTCAAAAGTAATAATTCACGTAGTTGCAAAGCCAACGTGAAACATAACCAACAAAAAAAAAATTAAAAAAATACAATACATATGTGTGAATTAAATTATTTTTTTTTCTTGGTTTCCCGTTGACAAGGTATGGTACTCGATTTGGGATACGACTAATTTGAGTTCGTGTAAGAAAGTCTAATTTTGAGCAGTAAGATGCTCACTAACAGAAGAAATTTCATTTTCAAAGCTCGAACTTTACATCTTTGTGTTTAATTAAGGTCGGAGGGGTACAATTGTCACCCTTCCATAACCTTGTGGTTTTACTTAGTCAAGAAGAGCACAAGAACAACTTGTTTAAGTTATCTTCTATGTAGATTAGTAACACCAATAATAACATATCAAGTGTAAAGGGCGACACCAGTTTGGGCCTAGAGGGTTTATCCAAATTTCCTTTGGTTAAAATTATTTTTCAGGTATGTGAGTAAATGTTAAATCTCCATCGGTTAATTTGTGTGTTTACTTCTTCATATAATTTAGACCCACTTAGCTAGTGAATTTTTTTGTTCCGCCACTCCCCACAAGTGGAATCTGAAGAGAGTGGTGTGTGTTCAACCTTACCCTTTCATTATAAAGGTAGAGAGACTATTTTTCGATGCACCCTCGACTCAGATATAGCATATTAAAAATTGATATAAAAGAAAATACAGTAATAAAAAACCAATCGAAATAATGGAAAAAGGAACAATGACTCCATGTAGATTAGCAGTAAATTGATTATTTGATTTTTATAAATGAGATAAATATATTTAGTTGGTGGACATAAAGTGTGAGTTTTATTTATTAGATTTTGTATTGGGCCATGAATCACCTGGAAGAACTATGAGTTTGACAGTAGTGTAGGGCTTTAGTCAAATGTAATATATTTATTTGTGTAGGGCTTTGTCAAATTTAATATATTTATTTATATACATTTTATAATAATTATGTTTTCTGGTTTTTGATTTGTAATGCTTATTTCAAGTGAACTGATACAACTTTGAATCCAAATTATACCCGCATTACAACTCGATTAATTTGGAATCGTATACTGTAGGATCCATTTATAGGGGTGACACTCCTAACAAGAACTTTTTCTAAATTCAGAGTTCGAACCCGAAAACAGAATTAATGTGAAGAGATCTTAACTATCCCACAACAATCCGTGTTGATATCTACTACACACATTATAAAATTATGTTTCAATTAAATCATCTTGTAAGATTTCATTTTATTTTTGGTTTTCCCTTTTGTAATATACTTCATGAAGTTCATCTTGATGTAATGTGCCAAAAGGAAATTCATAATCAAGGCCCATTTCATTTAAACTTCCTTCTTTGTATATGTTCACAAATAGCCTCTACAAGGGCTGTCTTGATTTTTTTAGCCCAACCTATCAATTCTTTTTAAAAAAATATTGCCTTAATTTCAGAAAATTCGTTAGGCAAAAGCTTTTGTTGTCCATCGAGCATAATGTCATGTCTCGCCACTTTGCCAGTCAAATTTTGCATCGGAATAAGGAAGGAAGAATCTAGAATTGTGGAGAGACTTATGGAGAATTCTAGAACCCCTAGATATTTTCAAGAAGGCTTTAGAATTTCCTAGAATTTGTAGAGAATTCTAGATTAAGACTAAAGTGTAAACATTGTAGGGACTTGTAAAGTAATTATTATTTACACTTAGGCCTCTATGAATTAGTATAAATATAGGGCCTCTCATTTGCAAACTTATCAACCAAGTGTAAATACAAAACCTTCCTCCAAAACTTTTTAACTCTTCAAGACCTTGGAAGATTAGTGAATAAGTTGTCAAGTGCCGCTTTAAGTCTTTCTAGCGATCTTAGTTTCAAAGACCTTGGAGAGTAGTGAGTAAGTTGTCAAGTGCCGCATGAAGCTTTAGTCTCCAATGATGTATGGAGTGTTTGAGTTGTGTTTTTGACTTAATTTTGAATTATCCCCTGTTCTGAAATTTCTCTCTCTTTGTTTTCAGGAAATTCAACAAGAAGTAGAAGAAAATCCCAACCAACAAGAAAACACGATGGAAAATCCCAATGATGTATGGAGTGTTTGAGTTATGTTTTTGCCTTAATTTTTAATTATCCCTTGTTCTAATTTGCCTTAATTTTGAATTATCCCCTGTTCTGAAATTTTTTTCTCTTTGTTTTCAGGAAATCCAGCAAGAAAACACGATGGAAAATTCCAATGATGTATGGAGTGTTTGAGTTGTGTTTTTGCCTTAATTTTGAATTATTCTCTGTTCTGAAATTTTTAATTATCCCCATTTTGAAAAAAAATTCTCTTTGTTTTTAGGAAATTCAGGAAATCCAGCAAGAAGTAGAAAATCCCAACCAGCAAGAAAACACGATGGAAAATCCCAATGAATCATGAGTGTCCGGCAATGTTACTTCTACCTTTATCCTTAAGTGAAGGATTATCCTTAAATGCCTTTGTGGCAAAAGGATTTTCCTTAAGTGCCTTTGTGGCAAATGGATTATCCTTAAGTGCCTTTGTGGCAAAGGGATTAGATATTTCTGAGTGGCAAAAGAATTAGATTCGATATTTTTGAGGCCTAGGGTAGTGCATTTTTCTGAACATTGTTGTAGAACGGCGATTTTACTTCTAGAATTAAATGCCTTAAATGCATTGTGCTTAAATGCCTTTGTGGCAAAAGGAATAGACTTGATATTTTTGAGGGTTAGGGAGAACATTTTTTCTGAACATTGTACCACATATAGTATCTTTTCTTGAATAAATAAATAAAAAAACTGTCAGTCTAATGTTTTTATGAGCTTCCTGCATTACATATGCAGTATTTAGGGGTTGTTGTGTAATGGATAAGAAGAATTAATTTCAGAATAACTTTTGAGTGGCTTTAACGTGTTTGGTTGCAAAGGTTGAGATAACTTATCCCAGGATAAACAATTAGTCATGGGATAAGTTATTCCTCATTGGGATGGAATAGTAATCCCAAGATAACTTTTCCTAGGATAAAGTATGTAAAATGGCAAAAAATCCCCTTTAACTCTCTTTTATACACCATTTTTATATTTATGTATTAACATAACTTTTAACAACATTTATAATAACATTCACAACCTTAATTATTTATTTTTTATGATAATATATTTTTCTATTAAAAATCATATTTTATAAATACAATTTTTACTTATGAAATATATTATAAAGTTGAATTTATTTGCCTAATTCTTATGTTTATTTATATTTTGATTTTTCTTAAAATGTTCACTCCACTACTAAATTAAATTACATATTTTTAATTAAATACTAGTTTATTACTCACTTAAAAATTATATTTTATATATCAATTAAAATGTAGATAACTTTAATAATAAAATTTCTCTTACTTTAGTAAACTTAAAATGGAAGTCTTATTTTTAAGCTAAATAAGATGGAAGTTTTATTTTAAAATTAAATAAGATGAAAATTTTATTTTTAATCAAAATAAGATGGAAATTTTATTTTAAAGTTAAATAAGATGAAAGTTTAATTTTAAAAACACTCGGCACAATCATAGAAATGAACACACATAAACATTTAAACTAAATAAGATGAAAGTTTTGTTTTTAAGTTGAATAAGATTAAAGTTTTATTTTAAAGCCACGACACGATCATGAAAATGCATACACAGAGTTATTTTAAGCTAAAATAAGATGGAAATTTTATTTTTAAGAATGAACAACTAAAGCTTGCAAAGAAAATGGGGAAAAAAACTAAATAGGGTGAAGGGTATTTTTGTAAATAAACAACTTATTCTTAAAAATTATCCAATGAATATAAGTTTGAATATGACAAATCAAACAAGCAATAAAAACTAATCCCAACATAACTATCCCAGTATAACTTATTTCAGTATAACTTATCCCAACATAACTTGTATTCAAATCAAACGACCCCTTAGAGTATAATCATTCTATGTCTTACTATTTCTATATTTTATTAAAGTATGATTCAGATTACACCTTGAATTAATCCAATTGCATCTACAGAACAAATGAATAAATTACCTGAAAATGACACCTATATAATATCCTTTAATTTGTAGTTGCACAAACAAGAATTAATCTTCATCCTCTAAAGAACAAAAGCTAAACGATGTTCCTCGATAAACACACACAAAAAAAAGATCACGTAAATTACACAAGAAACAACTCTCTCATGATCTCAGCCTCAGCGGTTTTGACTCCATTAAGACCTCTCTCTAACGCCCAGAAACGCGGAGAAAGAAACAATTATTTACAACTTCAAGCTCTTCCTATGCTTGATTTATCGTATTCCTAATTTCTGGTTTAGTACTTGATCACATGATGGCGAAGCCAGAGTTCATACATGACCATGTGAAAAGCATCATGTCTTATAGGTGGTGAATTCCACTGGAAGTGTTTCTGAACCTGACAAAAAGAAGATTAATCATAAGAAATTTATTGATATAAACTCTCCTCGAGTTAACAATGCAATTTGCGTCTTCTCACTTCACTAGCACATTATGTACGAACGATGGGTATAAATACTCTAAAGGATAATCCAGATTAAGTTTCAAAGATGTTACTTACCTTTACTAAATTGTTATGCAAGGTGACAAATTCTTCTTGCGTTATGTTCTTGAGAATTTGCTTTAGGTCATATACATCCTTCTCCCTCAGTACGACCGCAAACTTACGCCAATCAACAATGTCATTGAATGGCAAATCATAGTAATCAGAAAGTATCACTACAAAGATGACCCAAAAAAGTAGGGGAGATTTAGGAAGCAAGCATGGTGTAAGTTAAACAATCAGATAGTTTTAGAAAAAAAGATGAACAAGTATGTTGAACAGCATTTCACTATGAATTCCTTCACGCCAGATTGTTTTTAACTAACTTGGTGACCAATTACTTCGTCTGCTCACTCTCATTTTCTCAAACAGAGAAAGAAGACTAAAAAATGAAATTGTGAATGAAGATCACAGACTTGGTTTCACACTATCTTACAAACTTTTCCTATCCTATCTTAAAAGCTTATCATAAATTCGGCATAATTTCCACAAGAACTGAGAAGCTAGGAAAAGGTAGTCATTCTAAGAAGAAATTCTACCATCGCTCAACTTGGTGTGTATCATGAGGTGCTTAATTGAAGATAAGACAACATAATAAAACAGTCTCAACGACTCTTTCAAGCTGTCAAAAACGCTCAAATCCTTACCAGGAACACATCCATAATGTATTGAGTCTGTTATACGAGCACTGTTAACCTGGGAACCACCTGGACATATGCAGAACTTTGTCCTGTAAAATCTCTTTTGATAAACAAGAGGTCCTGTAGCCCTGTTTATCCTATTGTTGGAAATATCCAATTCAGTGTCATTTTCCCACTGACGTGCCAGGATAACCCTGATTTAGAGTTTCTATGACCTGCCCAGAAACCCAAAGTTGTCCTGTACAAATTAGGATCTCTGTTCGTGACATGCTATCTTCACTATAATAGCTTTTGACCATCTACGCATATATACTGATAGGCTATGCAAATGTTTAGTGATAGGTGACCATTCATGCATAAGTGACAAACCAGACTACAAGTTTTTACTCCAACTACAAGATACAGAAAGTGGTTCATGACAAAGACTCGTGATTGGGTAATGGGGAGAGCAAAGAGTGTATTAGTTCCTTCTAAAGTCTCCTCCTCTAAAGGAAGAAGATTGGGTCGAGTGCATACTTTTAAATATTAATCATTAACTTTACAGAATGAGTTTTTGAGGGCAGAAGACCAATAATCCAAAATAAGATAACCACTCGGCCCTTTCTAAGTTAAAACGTCTTCTCACAGCCTATTAGATTGACATTTGTCCTTCGATGGATCTACAGTACTACAGTGCAGACAAAGCACCTATCTTTTGTTGGGAGGTCTACAGATTTGTACAAACTCAAAGATCTGAAAATTTATCAGTAAAAGCTTGAAAACATATAGGTCACCAGCATCTCTTTTTTGTCTTTCACTAAACTGATTACAAAGGGACTTTTCTCAGTTAAAAGGCTAATTGTATTGGGCCTCCAAGAACAAAGATTCTGTTACATCCTACTTCTGCAGTATATTCACCACCGGCAAAAAGAATAATTAGTTTCCGAAATCTCTGCATCAAAGTGATGCAACATGGCCATGGATGAATACTGTCAGAAGGGTAATATAAATATACACTTTCAAATGAAGTATGCAGTCTTATTATCCTTTTTTGAATAATCACCCTTTGTGATATTTATGTTCTTCTATTCTTTCACAGGGAATTACTGAAATTACCGAGGGAAATGAAGAAAATAGAACTGAAGTTGTCAATGAGGTATCGCCTATAAAGCCTTTTTTTTTCTTTGATTGTGCTCTATTTTTTGCTAGGTCTACAAAGATTATAAGAGGCTTTATGTCTTTCAAGACAATATATTTATTATATGTAGTTATAGGTGTATATATATCGCCCTATTTTAGCACCTTCATTCACCACGATTTCATATTTATGGACCAATCCATCTATAAGTCAATGCAAAACATGAAAAACTATCTCAAACGACATTTGTTCATTTTATCCTCGATATGCGCACTTGCACTTTCTGTTGAACACAATCACATTTATTCTTGTCTAATACTTATCACTGCATATCTATCTTAACATATGCATATCTATTACACTTAGTATGAATATATTGGACTTTAGCGACCCAACTGTCACACACTTAGAGTTTCACTATTGTTTCGTACGGCACTCGACAACTTACTCACGACGCTTTCACGTTCTTGTAAGCTCAAGTAAGGCTTTTGAAGCTAGATCGCTAAGAGAATGAAAGGAAAGACTTAGAAAGATTAGACAACTTTGAAAAGAAGGCTTTGTATTAGCTTGGGCTTTGTATTAGCTTGGAGAATGCTTTACAACTTGAGTGATGCCTTGCAAATGAATAGCACCTCTATTTATATTACAACCTAGGGGCTAAAGTGTAATTTAAAATTACCTTACAAGTTTCTAAAGTATTTACACTTTGGTCCCTCTCTAGAAAACTCTACATAATCTAGGATGTTCCAAAGCCTTCTTGAAATATCTAAAGGATTCTAGAATTCTCCATAAGCTTCTCACAACTCTAGACTCTTCCGTCCCTATCCGGATGCAAAATTCAACTGGCAAAGTGGCGGGACATGACACTCTCCTCCACCTGTTGATGCGACGACCGCGGCGCACTGCTGCAAAAACTCCAGGATTTGGTCTTTAAACTTGGACAAAACTTTCTTGACCAATAGGTAACAAATATTGTCTCTATATGTGATCTTTTTTCAATATTATATTATGTTTGTTTCATAACCATAGTGAGAAATGGGCCAAAGTATGGTTTCAAACTGACAAAACATCAAAAACCTTATATGATGTAACTAGTATATCTTCTAAAAAGGTCATCAACTTTTCTTTGTTTGATTGAGTTGATAACATCCATCATTTCCATGTTGAAAATTTCAAAATGCAATCTCAATGACATCTCGCGATCAACTTGCTAGTTATTATACATAGAGATCACCCCATGAAATCATAACTCGACCAATCCATCTAAATTTGGATCAAGTATTGACTCATTCATTTATTAGCTCAGCTCATTTTATCAATCTGTTTTAACTCGTTAAATTTTGAGTTGTACCGCCTGTATCTAACTCAAATTGAATCATGAAATTTTTTGTCAAAATACTATACGCGTCCTTTGTTGACTCTTATTTGCCAGTTCACTTCCATCTTTTGGTTAGGGT